AATTAGAAAATATTTTGAAATACAGAATTCAGAAGAAAATAACTTGCAATCTTACCTCTCAGAGACTAACTACTATTATAGTTTATGTATGTACACACATTAAAAAATCACACCTGGAATTTTTTCTATGCATAGAACACACTTTTTTAAAAATCCCAGATGGATATTTACTGTGGATGCTTTTTGAATCTGTATCAGCATGCTGTTGACATCTAGTAACAGGAACATTGACTCGAGCAAATTTGAACATGACTGATGTGTATTAAATGATGAAATAGGACATCAGAGAGAGGGTGAGCTGCAGGATAGGTGTTTCACTGGTTATCAAGGACCCAAATACTTCTTTTTAGGCATTTTATTTTTATTTTAAAGAGAGTACTATATGAGAAACAAACAAACAAAAAAATATAACAGTAGCAGCATACCAGTATCACAAACATAAACAAATCAAAGCAAGAACATTCAAAGTGATACAGAGTCTCAAGACAAAATAATACAAATCAACAGTGGTTGTTACATTGCATATCGCTGTCCTCAACTACATTGCTCAGATTACCAGATGTAAGAATGACAGATTTCTCAAACCATTGAAGAGAATAAGAAAATAATTCTTCAATAAAACATTAGAGATAATAGAGTTTTGCTAGACAAGATGGTAGGAGTTCACCATTGTAATTCCATTGCATATTGTTACCTTCAAATCAGTTGCTCAGACCATCAAACACAAGCATACAAAGTCGATCAGCAGATAAAAAACCGTAAGCATTGACTGTTCATTTCAATGCACCGTCAGACATCAGCAATACAGTTATTGCAGCTATTCATATATATATATATATATATTTATGTTTTGCCTTCCTTTCTTTTTTCTTCTTTCCTTCATCCCAGTCATTCCTTCCTTTGAGCAGTTTCTTTCCCTTTGCTATCATCTATTGTATGTTTTGAGTTTTACCTAGTTTTTCAGGTTCCTACACCAAGGAGACAATATGCTGTTTACACATGTGGGTCCGATTTATTTCACTTATGAGTATGGTCTCTAGTTGCATCCATTTACCTACAAATTCCTCGAGTTTATCTTTTTTAATAACTGAGTAATACTCCATTGTATAAAAATACCACAACCTTTTTATCCATTCCTCAGTGGATGGGCATCTGGGTTGTTTCCAAGATTTAGCTCTCACAAATTGTGCTGCTATAAACATGGATGCACATATATCACTGTGTTGTGATGTTTTTAATTGGGAAAATACCCAGAAGGGGAATAGCTGGGTTAAATGGGACTTCCAATCCTAGTTTTGTGAGGAATCTCTAAACTGATCTCCACAGTGGTTTCACCAATCTACACTCCCACCAGCAGTGGAGTAGTGTTCCTTTCTCCCCACAGCCTCTCCAGTAGTTGTTACTGGTTGATTACTTGAAGATAGCCATTCTTTCTGGGGTGAGATGGAATCTCAGTGTTGTTTTAATTTGCATTTCTTGAATGACTAATGACATTGAACATTTTTTCATGTATTTATTCGCCATTAGTATCTCTTCATTAGAGAAGTGTGTATTCATCTCAGATGCCCATTTTTGGATTGGGTCTTTGAATTTGGGGGGCCTGATTTTTTAAAATTCTTTATATGACTTAGATAGAAGTCCTTTGTCTGAGGGGCAGTTGGCTAAAATTTTTTCCCAATTCGTAGGTTTTCTTTTTGCTTTCTTGATGATTTCTTTAGATGTGCAAAATTTTTCAATGAGATAAGATCCCAGTTGTTGATTCTTTGAAGTAATTCCGTGCAGTTTGGTTTTTGTTCATGAACTCTCTGCCCACCCCAATGTCATCAAAATTTTTACCTACTTTCTCGTCCAATAGATTTAGTGTTTCTGTTTTAATATTTAGATCTTTGATCCATTTTGACTTTGATTTAGTGCATGGTGAAAGACATGGGTCTAGTTTTAGTCTTCAACATGTGGAAAGCCAGTTTTTCCAGCACCATTTATTAAAGAGGCTATCTTCCTTCCATTGAACATGTTTGGCCCCTTTGTTGAAGATAAGGTGACTGAATGTGTTTGTAGTTGTATCTGTATGTTCTAATCTGTTCCACTGATCTTCAGGTCTGTTGTTTTGCCAGTACCATGCTGATTTTATCACAATAGCTTTGTAATATAATTTTAAGTCAGTAATTGTGATCCCTCCTGCCTTTTCTTTGTTTCCCAAAATTGCTTTTCCTATTCTAGGCCTCTTCTCATTCCAGATGAACTTTAGGGGTGTTTTCTCTAGATCTGTGAGGCATACTAATGGTATTTTAATTGGGATTGTATTGAATATATACAACAATTTTGGGAGTATGGCCATATTCACAATGATGGTTCTTCCTATCCATGAGCAAGGAATATCTTTCCATTTGCTGAAATCCTCTTCAATCTCTTTTTTCAGAGTACTATAATTTTCACTGTATAGATCTTTTACTTCTTTTGTTAGATTGATTCCTAAGTATTTCATCTTTTTAGATGCTATTGTGAAAGGTGTGGTTTCCCTAATTTCTCTCTCAGTCTGTTACTTGTGTACAGGATCACTATTGATTTTTGAGTGTTAACTTTGTATCCAGCTACACTACTGAATTTGGTTATTAAATCCATGAGACTTTTGGTGGTCTCCAATACTTCTTATTATCTGTCTGACACTAATATTTTCAGCTTCATGCTAAGGTTGTTTCCCTCATGGCCATAAAATTGCCACCATTATCACCTGGGACAAAATGACCACAGTCCAAGCCTGCTACTAGGACGACAGCCACTCCTATTGCAGCTGCATGGAAAGGTGGCAGCAAAGCCAGGGACCAAGGGACATGGCCACTAAACATCACTAAAATAGATTCTTTTCCTAAATTATCCTAACAGTTATCAGGACTTAAATTTGAGATGAATGAATAATTTTCATTTTAAAAATTAGTTTCCTTTGTAAAAGTCTTCTGTTCAGGAAGATTTGAATAGAAAATCTTTTTCTGGGAAACTAATTCTCATTTAGTAAACATTCTCCTAAGATTTAGCATTTTTGTTGGGTCTTCTTAAGCAACAGATAAAGTTTTTTTATGAATATTGATTTAAACAAGTAGAGAAATTAAAAACTAAAAGAGAAAGAGCTTAAAAATAAAACCTTAAGAGATGTAAAACTTAGTGTTTTTATTTTATGTGCTTTTGAATTTTCAATACTCTTGAAACAATGTAATAAATAATATAGAGAATTAGTGGACATGTTAAAAGACTAATTCTGAGAATTAATAGGGCATATTTGAAATTACTATTGTAAAAATCAAATGTTAAAGCAAAAGTTATATATCTAGTTTTTAAATTATACTATTAAATGTATAACTTCATGTGTAGTAAATATTCATATTTAATTTTAGGTGCCAGTATAACATATACTAAAATAAAATGGAACAATTTCTATGATTCTATAAAAGAACCTATAAAGAAGTCATAAATAATTATAGTAAAACTCTTTTGAAATATTTTTATGGGTCTAAAAATTGAAAACTTCCTAATAGGGAAATTTTCTTAAGTGAGACATGAAATAATTTAGCCACAGAGACCTAAAATGTATATGTCCTGTGGGAACCCTGAATGAACAGTCATTCCTTAGGATAATTTTATACAATGTGTAAAAACCAAGGATTTTTGAAAAAGCTATCCAAAAGGTAACAAGAAGTGAAAGGTTGCTATTACACTAAATTCTTCATGAGCGGTCACTCTGTTGGCATGATTGTCTGACTCTGGAAGGGCTCTGCCAAGGATCAGAAAACAAACAAGCAGGACTCGTCCCTGCAGGGGGACCATTCTGCGGTGACAGTCCCTGTAGTATGCCACATCCCACTGCATCTCTGTTTTGGAAATAAGAGCACAGACTAAAAGATGTTTTGATGTTTCAAGACTATTATTTCACACTCCATGCCCAATTCACCAGCCAGAGAATTTATGCAGATTTGCATTTATATTTTTTAGTAGATTCTAACTCCCCCACTCACCTCCTTAACTAGCAAAGGGAATACAGAATCATAACAGGAGCAGAGGACCCTCTTGGGTCCCCATTTCAATACAGTGGTCATTTGGATTTTGTTGGCATTCTTCTTTTAAAAAAAGTATAAAAGTAAGGGTCATTGTGTGGTGCAACGTGAGGCACATGGGTCTATCTGCAAGAAGGCTTGGTCCTGCCTCTGGCATCAAGTGGCCATGTGACCTTGCACAAACAGCTTTGGCTCAGAGAAACGGTGGGTTGATCAAATATGTCTCAGGTTCCTTCCACTAGAATTAGGACATCTGAAAAGGATTTGTTTATGGTCATGTAGAGTGTTTACTTGTTTGCACTTCTAAAACATGACTCCTAGAAGTTAGTGAGGGGTGTGTCGCTGGAGTTAGTGGTAATAGAAGAATTTAAATTGAAGGGGTTAGCACTATGCCCACTGGAAATGTTCCCTCTATCCTCCAGTGTGAAAGTAAGATAAGCATAGTCTACAAGGAGGCTCAGCAGAACATGTTCAGAGAAACAGGTTCACCTGGATAAAGGTGTTGGTGGTCCAGCCCTCTAATTGAAAGGTTTGTGACTATTTCATAATCAAATAACCCTCCTGAAGGAAAAATCACGACTGCCCTGGAATGTCCTCTCACTGGCCTTGTTAGAACTCTTGGAGGAACATCTTAAGTTTTTAACAATCTTTGGATGTGTGTGTGTTCTGAAATAGGCTTGGTACAGAAGTGGAGCACCTGCAACACACAGATGTTTCTGGCTGTAGTGTGCACCCCAGACCAGAGAAGGCTCAGCCTTCACCACATTCTTAAAATTGGCCTACCTATTGTTTCTGTTCCTTCGGGTCTTTTAAAAAAATCAAAAAACAAAATAAAATAACAACAACAAAAAGACTCCAGACATTCCTGCATAGTTTGCTTAATAAATTAATTTTGTCTTATAATGAGAAGTTCCCTGGAGTGGTTTTGATCTATCTTCTGCTTCTCTGAAACAGAGCCATCACACTGGAGAATCAGCTGGTGATCCTTTCGACAGCAGCAAGTGATGCTGGGGCTTACTACGTGCAGGCCGTCAACGAGAGGAATGGGGAGAACAAGACAAGCCCGTTCATTCATCTGAACATAGCGAGTGAGTTCGGAAATTCCAAACAATAATTCTGAAAGAAAGATAGTCTTTATGTAATTAATAAGTACTTTCTGATGGGACATTTTGCAGTGAATCCTCTTTTCTGTTGCAGTAGTTATGGTTTAATATTGGCCCAGTGTCAATAGCTTGAAGAACATCAGGGCTCTTGCTTCCTTTTAAACAGTTTGCAGAAATCAAGACTCTACCTGGTATTTTTAAAATGCAAGTTCTTATTTGTTTTGTGGATTTAAAACATTTCTTTTGCACATTGTTAATGTGTATTGTTTTTAATGACAAGGAAATCTTTTGACTTTCATGGGTTGTTTCCATGAACCTTGCTTGAGACTAAATTAGTGGCAGATTATGTTCTTTTGATCTAACAATAGCTTCCTTGAAGAAGAATACAAACATATGTGAAGTCATTTTAAAATGAGCAATATTTAACTATAGTTACTTGATCATTTTTGCTGCATGATTTAACTAAAAGCCTGAGTCATAAGGAAAATACACATAAATTGTAGTGATAGGGATGGTTTATTTAAGGACATTTTCATCCGAGGATAACTAAGTGTTTGCTCTTTGGAATCCTACCAGTGAAAGTGAATTTCTAGAGAAGGGAAGCATGTCCAAAAGCAAAAATGTTACTGAATTAGGAGTTGTCTCTAGGTTCTTAATGTCCTAAACAAAAAAGAACTGAACAGGACACCCAAGAGTTGCAGTGGGATCAGTGATTTATTTGAAAGAGAAAAGGTACACTCGACAGGGTGGGAACAGGCCAATGAGAAGAGCCCACAGCACAAAGGGGTTTGGTGTTGAAGGTTTTTAACTTTAGAATTTGGGGTAGGATCAAGGATTTGGTCTGAGGTATAATTTCAATCAATGAGTGGCTGCAACCCCTCCCTGCACAGTAGAGGTTTTGACTTTTTATGGGCCTTGAAGAACTGTCATGGTGTCCAAAGCCCATGGGGCATCAAGTCTACATAGTCAATAACATGGTGGTTAAGGTCAGGCAAAGGTTGCAGAAGGCCACTGGATGCATGCTCAGAGGCTTATTATCTATAAGTGAATCTACCTGGTTACATTTTCCCATTGTGTTTGATCCTGCACTAACATTTAACTCAGAAGGTAGATCTAGTTCCAGAAGGCAGATCCAAGGTGGGCTCTCTCCTTTTCGCAGCTGTTTCCTTGGTTGCCTTATGTCTCAGATCTACCCGAGAAAGCAGGCTCTGAGGTGGGCCAGCTCTCTCTTTTTCCAGCCTTTTCCTTAGCTACCTCCTGTCTCAAGAACCCTGGACTGTACGAGATTGAAATATGCATATTAGAGGGTGTGTTATCAAACACTGGCAGCTTGATGCTTTGCGGAATGAAATGCAGGTGTGCTGTTGAGAAAATACAGTTGGAAAATAGTCATGATAGCTGGTAAATTTCAAAATATTATGTTCACATCATAGGAGAGTGAATTATACTGACTTGTCTTTATAGTGAATTTCATCTTTTGGAAAACTCCTTTAAGGGATAGTTTTCCCTTCGGGAAGTTTAGAAAGCATGTGGGATAGAACAGTAGTATTTGCTTCACGTGGTCCCTCAGGACAGTTGCCCAGTAGAGTTCAGGGTGAAGGTTTGTAACAAGCACTGGGTGCTGGAGTGTGTGGATGAGTGCATGCTTATCCTCACTTGCCCAACATATCCTGTAAATAAGTGATCAGTACTGCTGTGCTGTGCTGTGCTGTGCTGTGCTGTGAGCCTGTCAGCAGCTCCTTAATTCCAAGGGATTGAATTCTGCTCTCCAGACCATGGAGTGGGCAGATTCAGGTTTAGCGACACCTTTTAATGCTTTGGAGAGTTATGCCCATTGATGAGATGGGGAGCTCTCAAAATCTAGAGCATGATGTGCTAATATTTAGAGAACTGCCTGAATAAGAATCATAGTAAAAATTAGCATGATTTATCAAGATATTTTCAACAGAAGTAACAAAGGCTGGAAATTGTATGACGAAGTAGATTGTGATTATTTTTAATGATTTCCAAATTTTACAACTAGAGCCATTTATACTATTTAGCAAATCTGATTTGTACTCAATTGTGATATAAATGGGATAATAATAGTCAGAGATGGAGGAATTCTGGGTCACAAATGAGGAAATTAGCCTAGTTTGATAGAAGGGGGGAAGAAACTAATTTCACAAAAATTCTGGTTCACTGGACATTAGCACCACAAAGTTATAAAATACTTTACACATAGTAGTTTCCTACAGGCTACTCTGATGGCCAGTAGAATATAAAACTAGTACAGTGAGTTTGCAAATTGCCATATGAATGCAACATTGTGGCATTAGATAATTGGAATATGTAAATTTTTTCAATAATTTCAGTTTCTACCCCGACACAAAAGTATACTGGAAGCTGCTCATAAATATTATAATTAACTGGCTACATTTTCTTCTCTTGTATATTTTTATCTTTTCATTGGCACCAGGTAAAATGTGTAAAAGGTAAGCCACAGTGAGGTTGATGATCTGGACTTATTTTAAAGCTTAGGGAACAAACATCCACATTTTGTTTCTGTATATATTTTTTGCTTTTTAACAAGACCTCGTACAGTCTGAGAAGGAAGATGGTTGAGGAAACTATTTTAATTCTTCAGAGAACCTTCCCATGATGTATTGGATTTAGCTAAATGTTAAATGTACCAGTCATGCATTTTCCAACTGAAAGTTCTATTTTGAAAACCTCTAAAGACCAGAAGTCTTGACAAACCTGCAGAAGCCCTCAGAATTTTGTGCTGAAATGTGGCTGTGCTCTGGGGTGCAGCACTTGCTGTTGTGCGGGAGCACACTGGAGGCCATCACCCCCCCAATCCATTGTGAAATTAGGTATCCTCAAGCCTGGCACACTGTGGCAAGACATAGTGTGTCTGCAGCCTTAGACAGCTTGCCCCCCACCAAAGTAGGCTTTTGTAAAAACATCAAACACGATTGATGAAAATTTGAAAATTCTTGCCAGCCAGCATTTCTGAAAAATCAAAAGATATTACATCCAATTATCATTTAACAAAGATAAATTTTTTCCTTGGTGTTGGGAGAATAAAGTAGAGGACCTTTGTGTACTGACTGTGATCAGGGTAGCAGGGTGCTAGAAGTCAAATTCTCGGTGGATTCCACTGTAATTAATTTTAAAGTGGAGTGTCACTGGCCTTACCTCTCATTTCCCTTACAAGGGCCACCAAGCCTCCGAGTAGGGTAGCGGTCAGGGCCCGGCCTTGTCTCAGAGCATCTAACTGAGTGATGCGCTGACACTCTGCCAACAGGAAAAAAGAAATTTCCCAAACTGCATACCTGAGAATTCAAAACCTCAGCACCTTTCCAATTGCTGAATATTTTGGCTAGAATTGAAGCTTATGGGAAGCAAAAATTAAAGAGGGTATGGATAAAAATAAATTTTTAAATTGCACGAACGTTAGCTTGAAATGCAGTCCTGTAATGGTACCACCTGCTGTTCTGTGCGCGTGTTTAGTAAATGGTGTTATTATGTCTCAACACCTCTCCCTGTTTTTGTGGTTAAGAAGATAAACTGCAGCCCAGGTGGTGTAGGTAACCCTGTCAGGAGGGAGAAGTCTCTGCACTCTCGATCCTCTGCTCACGGGGATGGAACGCTTGCTGCCTTCGCAGGGGCGGATTCCCTTTGAAGTTCTAATGTGATGTGAAGCCAGCAGATGTTAAGGACATAGGTGGAACCGCCAAAGCATCCTGTATGAATTTTTCATAGCTGGCTCCCGCAGCTCAGGTGCACACCAGAAAAAGAATGGGCTGAACTTGCCTGAGAGTAGACATTTCCATTCTGAGGTCAAACCCAGGCAAGCTTTATAAACCTGTCAACCTGTTTTTGGCTCTCCCTTTGAAGATTTTACAGTTAACTTTTCTAGATCAAATCTTCTGAACTGAATTCATATATGAATGCAAGTTTCTTCTTTTAAAAAAAAAACTCCTATCATTAGGAGATGAGAAGAAGTCTGTACAGCGATTAATCAATCATTACTTAAATGCCATTGTACATACGTTAGACACATCATCAGTTCTGATCTAATATTCAAAATGTCCAGTGTAATGAGATTCTCTACCAGGGATAAAGCTTAGATTAAAAAAGAAATGACTGCCTCTCTCCTTCTTGCTTTTTTTCACCTCTTTCATTTTAATGTCTCCTCTTCAAACAACATTTGCAGATAGGATATCATTTTGGCTGATCCTCCTCAGGCTGACAAACTCTTGCTTTTCATTCTGAAGACCACTTAACATTCTTTTGTCCTCTATAATGCTAATTTAACTGCAGACCTCATATATAGTTAGTAGTGGAAAGTGGATTCCTGAGAATAATGTCTTTGCACAGTCATCCAAGAGAGCTGCCCTGTAAAACATGGCTTTTGTGTGCCTGGATAAAATTTTATCTTATTTTCCTGTGCCTTTCACCTTAAAGGGAGAGTAGAGAGCAGGCATAAGCCTTTAAAATGGACCCTGACATACATGCACTGGATTCCTAATGCAATAAGAACTGTTTGAAATACAGTCTTTCTCAAAACCAGTCTGGGGATAGGAACCACATCCCATCTGAGTAACATAGACTCAAGCTGCAGCTCTATAGGTTGCATGATACTTTACTGCCAGAACTTGCCAGTACATTGATAGGAAGTAAATTTTGTAGTAAAGTCCTAAATTTGATTCTTTAGCCATGTGTTGGACCTGTTCAGTGGATATGTTAGGAAACATGAGGCTGCTGGAGCTACTGATGGGCAGAGACAAGCCGAGGCTGTGGTCTCCAGAGCTCTTTTGTAGATACCCATGAGGAAATAAGCTCCAAGCATTGATCCAATGTAGGGTTACTTATTTATGTATAAGTTGCAAGTGTTAGGTATCATATAAAAGATATGAAGGAGAATTAAACTGTGCTAAGTGTCTTGCTCATCATGAAAGTCTCATTCTATCTGTAGTTGGTGTCTCCTGGTATAACAG